TGAATATTATAACCTGGATTTTTGTGTGATTAAGACAAGGGCTGTACCATCTGTATCAAGAAGGGTTCTAAAGGATGAGCAATGAAGTATAAGGCAATTGTTTATATAGGCTGCATAAATACTGTATAATGTATATCAACAATTTATGAAGAAACATCAAATATTGTAGTAAATAAGGGTCCGGTCCTGATGGTATTCCACCTATTACCCTTAAATATTGTAGTATTGTAATATCACATTCACTTCACATTATATTTAATGAATCCTTGCGTTAGGAATATTTCCAGAATTTTGGAAAATTAGTTATATACTTACTTATTTAAAACCTATCTTTAAATCAGGTAACAAGGCAGAAGTATCTAACTATATGCCAGTATGGAATCTTAGTTAAATTCCGAAATTATTTGACAAAATAGTAGTTACATACTAAAGATCAACATTCGATTTGACAGTGATGGAGGAATAGTTTAGGTTTTAAAAACAGAGATCAGCAGATTTGAATTTAATTACATTTATTGACTATCTTTCAGATACAGTAGATTAAGGTGGTGAAGTACATGTGTCTACACAAATTTTTCCAAGGCGTTTGATAGGGTCAGTTACAAAATCTTATTAAACATGCTAAAAATTGATGGTGTCCAGGGAACATTGTTAGAATGGCTAGCTCGTTATCTGTCTGAACGATTCTAAACTGTAAAAGTAAATAATTTGCTGTCTAAAAAGATTTCCAATCCCTCTGGAGTTCCACAGGGATCCCACCTGGGACCTTTGCTGGACTCTCAATATCATCCCTGAGGACTGTCTTAAATTTCAGGCAGATCTGGTCAGACTGGACAAATATTGTTAGATCAATAATATGAATCTTAAGTGTCACTCTATATGATTTACAAAGAAACTAAACAAAATTGATTTTAACTAAATAATAAAAGGTTCGCAGTTTTCTCAAGTCACAACTAGTTGAGATCTTGGTGTTATTATGGACTCCACACTCTCATTTGTCAATCATATTGACATGATAGTTTCTAGAGTTCTAGGTATGCTTGGATTTATTAGGAGAAATAAATCAGACTTTAAAAGCATTATAGCCATTCAAGTACTATACTGTAGTCTTGTTTAGACCCCTATTAGAATATTGTTCTTTGGTCTAGAGCTCCTATTATGCCTGTCATATTCACAGAATTTAGCAAGTGCAGAGTAGGTTTCTGTGGTATAACAAATATTCTAAAAATTAATGATTATTCTTATGATTTTGCATCATAGCAAGGGATATTCTCATTACCAATGTTAAATGTGAAGTGGACCAATGTTGGTTTTAATTCATACATGTCTACAGTACCACATATTGCAAATCATCATGCTAATAATCTTGAATTTTTTAACATAATCTTCAGCAAGTTTATAAGTGTGTTGAATCTACATGTAGCCTGAGTTCTTTGGGTGGGTTTGTTTTAAGATAAATTTTAGATTTTATTGTGTATCTATTAAAGCATTCTTGTGCTAAACAAGTAAGTAATGGTTGAATTAATTAAGTAGTTTAACAATTTCTTTATGTATAAATTATTGTATTGTATTGTTATTGAGGTTGTAAATTTTTATAATAATTTTATCTAAAAGTGGGCTAGGCCCAATGATAAATAAATAAATAAATAATGGAAACCATGTGGAATTCTGCTCCTGGGGTTAATAGTGTTCATCTATTCTGTAATGGTGTTTCTCTCAGCTGAGGATGCAATCTTCAGGTCGATGTCTTCTGAAGGATAAATAAGATCATTGAATATATTATGGAATCATTGAATATATTATGGATTATACCTTTTTGTTGTTTTTAAATTGTATTTAAACCAAAGTTGCTTTATTGATAGAATACAGTGTGACTTGGAGTGAATTTTCAAACACTTTCAGACTTTTCTTCTTTATAGGAAACTTTTTGGTAAGTAGTTGGTTAAGAGATTAGACAAGAATGAGTTTGAACAGCCTCAACCTAGAAAATAGAATATTGTATTCTGTTTTGATGAGCAGGTCTCTTAATCTCTTGTATACATAGAAAAACCAATGTTTTAGTATATTAGTGCCACAATTATATCAGGGAGAGCTTATATTCAACTTGCTTTGTTGACGAAATGGGTCTAACACTGGAAGGTTTTGTGTGATGATATATTGGAATAGCTTCTAATGTTGTTATAATAATGTAATCTACAAACTGAGGTTATTGGCTTACTTAGAAGTGTTGTCAAATGTTTTTGCAAGGAAAGTCAAATGATCTGAAGTTATGGAGTCTCTAATGAAGCAGTATTGACATAGAGCTCCCTAAAACCAGAATATCGTGATTTCTGAATTGATTACTCTTAACAGATCTGTTAGAACAAATGCCCTCACATTTGAATGATTAGTCACCATATTTAGTACCTATATCTACAGTTGAGGTTGCCAAAAAAAGGTTGCCTTGGTTTAAATCAATGCTCAGAAATTAATAAATGAATATAATGATTTTTTTGTTACATGCAAGTACAGATTTGATCCTTGAAGATAACAAAAATATATATTCAAGAAATATTTATGGAATTCTGGATGTGGTAATTTAAATATTAACATAGTAATTAATATTAAATGGTTTACAAAATTTAAAAGTTATGATTTAAATCTTTTAGATGTAATTCATGTATATTATAGAAAACATCTATTGACTAATCTTTTTTCTTTTGATCTATGCTGATTACATAAAAAGTTAACATACAACAATATATAAATTTATCAATAAGAAAAAGGGAGGTTCATTCATTCAAACAAACAAAAGGAGTAGAAACATATATAGTATTAGCAAAATTCTATATAAAAATTGTAGGTGATACTATCTTAATTAATTAATATCTAGAACACATAGGAATTTGAGCAGCTCCAGGTAATATTAGAAGGCAAGATTGAAGGTAAAAGGGGCATAGGATGAAAAAAAAACTTGGCTACGAAATATCAGAGATTGGACCCACACAAGAGGAAATTAATTAATTCATGAAGCCCAAAACATAGAGAAGTTGGCCATATTGATCGACAACCTCAACAGAGAAGGCACTTAGTAGGAGGAGGACCATTAATTAATATTGGAAGCAAATTGTTAGATAATATGAGATTGTCACCAATATGCTGTGACAAATTTACTGAACAGAACAAAAACCAAAGAACCAAAGAAAAAATACTATAAATATTTATTTTTCCATGACAGATATTTGTGGTAGGTATTATTTTATTACATTTTTTTGTGTGGTCTGCCAAAACCTAAGTTATATTTACTTTTCATTCATTTTATAACACTCTTTATTTACTGTCTCATGGTACAAGCCTATAAACCATTGTTCACCTTAATCATGAAAGCTAAGGAAATTCACCAAATGCACAGAAAACATGAACCTGGATAATGTAAAGAATAATTTACTTCAAAAACAGAGATACTGTAGATAGAAAATATTTTTGTTGTACTATTAACACTTTATAGCTTTACACTGATGTGAGTCAATTATTCAGAACAAAAATACAGTCATACTTAGTTCAGTAATATATTTACCCTTCTTTTACATCTTATTAATTTTATTGCATTCCTTACACTAAGCTCCTGTAAACAGTTTACCTTAATATAATAATAGTAGGAGCTAGAAAAATCCACTAAATATAAACAAAACAAAAACATGGATAATGTAAAGAAAATGAATGAATACTTGAAAAATAGAACTATTGTGGATAGAATATATTATCTTTGTTGTACTTTTAACACCTCACATGAATTGGTTCCAATTAAATACCCTAAAATAGAACACAATTCACAAATTTCAATAGCTATACAGACCAAGGTTTAGATTCTTTCCAGTAATGAATATGCTTTTGCCCCTATTTCATTAAGTTTCATTGTGAAATCAAGAAGATGGCTGGCCTATAAGAAACATTATATCATCAATGTCAAGGTCATTTTGTGCTATATATAAATCCACTCATGTCAACCAAAGAACAATAAATACTATTGTATATTATATAAAGTCACATAGACACAGGCAAATTGAACACATGATGAATGATTTTGAAGCAGATAATAAAATTGGATCTACAACTACTTAAAAGACTAGTTATTAAGAGATTCTTAAAAAACACAGGATAGTTAACTAAATTTATAGAGGTTAAAATAGTTTCACACAGGAAATTTATAGGAACATATTAAAAACTAACCTAATAGAGTTAAAAACACCATGTGTCTATGAAAATACCTGATCATTTGACCTGATATAGGTGTCTACTTCAATTAATAAAAAAGTTTAATATTTATTAAAGTTAAACAAATAAATAAACATGTAGTATTAGCCCAAGAGAATATTTCAACTCTTCATTAATTGAAATGTAAAAACAAGTAAATGATTTCATTACAAATAGAACAAAGCAGGTCCAAGTCCCAAATAAATGTCTACTTTTCACTTTAGATAATGAGACACTGCTACATGTGATCTAGACATGTAGGCACCAACAACCTATACTTAATGAGTGTCTGCCTACACATGACAATGAAAAACATTTTACTAGCCAAAAATAGTTTATCAGTTTCATGGTTCTGTTGGGAATCTAAAAACTGCTTAAAATATGTTCATTATTATATCTACACATGTCTAAATCCTATACTTGATTGGTAAATCTAATTGTATTAATAATCAGTATTATTCCACATAATATTATGACATTGTCTATTACTTTCATCTATTAATAGGACCTATTAATATTAATTTTATTATTATCTAAGGAACTCACTTAAATATTCATTATCTTTGCTTTTGCCTCAAATATTTATCTCAATGATAACTTTGAAAAAAAATCAAAGTCACTACTATTGTAAAATACCGTTTTCAGTGCTGAGAAACAAGTTGCTCCAATTAATAACAATACATATATGAATGGGCAATATATGAATTTAAAAAGCAGGAATGTGCGGACGGCAAAATATGTAAAAACACGAGATAGTTAAAAGTTACCTTTGGTGCTACACATTTAATAATGCGTTGTACATTCCAGTAAATACACAAACCACTTTTTTACACAAAAATTCACTCGTCTGTTCTTATCACTAAAATCTGCTTGTCCATATCACTTCACAACTTTACTTTTAAAACACTACTTTTATCTTTAAAAAAACTAAATATGTACTCAGCACTATTTTTAACCGAACAGTTGGACAAGAGGAAATTAGAATGACTAATTTGCGGACTTACAAAATGACAGCTGTTAAAAAATAAAATGTGTTTTCCAACAATTTCCTCAAGTCTCCATTAAATGGAAACTTATACTTCAAATGAATACTCATAGGAGGCAATAATGTCGCTATCAGCTGATGAAGGAGGAGTGGCTACTACACGATGAATACGTTGTTAATTTTCAATAGAAAATTTAGAAGCAGTTGTTGTTAATTATATAGGCAACACAATTTACGTCTATGTTGTAAAAAAAATGAAAAAGGATGTTTCGGCTAATTAAACGTGTTTGCGATATTGTTATTATTGAACTATGATACGTATTTAATTAGCATAACATAGTTAACCATATATCTAAAATGTGAGATGATATATCATTCGTAATTTTAGATATAGGAGGTAACTGTAAAAAGATTGTGTAATATGTGTATGTATAAGTTCATTTGACTATTTGTTTGTTTATATATTTGTTAGTTTATTCCATAACAACTGTTTATTGTAGATTATAGTTTTTAAAGTGTGCTTGTCATAGCAACGGTTTCCACATTGTAACCACAATGATCTTGTGTCGTTTTAGCGTTGCACCTAGGATTTTTCTGTCTTCTCTAAATTACTTGCATGCTCTAACTCATCTCATCACATCCTGTACTCAATCAGTCCTTCCCTGATATGCTGTCTTCTTTTTACATTCTAAAGGTCTGTTGATGTTTCTGATATGGATGGCGTGGTATCCATGGATGGAGTCCAGATCTTACAAGAAGATTTGTTTCTGTTTGTATTATTTCTCCTCATCATTTTTGTTCGTCCAGATGTTTCTCAAATATCCGTTGACTATCAATGTTTTTATTCGTATCCCTTCTACAATATTTCTTTCACTTTACATCTTTAAATTTGACCGTTTATTGTATCCTTTTGATTAAAATATTCTTTATAAATTTGTGCACGTTCGAACCATCCATTCTCTCTTTTCAACAGATCTGCCTTTATGCCATCAAACCATCTTTGTCTGGATTATCTTTGGCATTCTCTACATTCTTATTACGTGCCCCACCTATCTCAATCTCTGTAACTTTATGACGTTACTGATGCTTGGTTTATTATAAAGTTGCTCTAGCTCATTGTTTGTTCGTCGGATCCAACCCTCCAAAGTATTTTTGTCTTCCTATATAGCTTTGAGCATTATCCTTTCCCATCTTTCCAATTTCTCCGTATTTGCTTTTTTCATTGTCCATAGTTCACTACCAAATATTCGGCTTCCTTTTCTAATCTTTTTATATCATTTCTTAATGAGATAAAAATATTTGTTTTCTTTACAATAGTAAGATCATCAGCTAAGTCCAAACATTAATGTTCATTGTTGAAGATGGATCAGGCTATTTTAATTTGGCTAATTTTTCCAATACCAAAATAAAAAGCACCGTGGATAACTGATCTCCCTATTTAAAACCTCTGTTCACTCCAAATTCATCCAGTGAGAATCCTCTCCATCTCCATACTACATGATTCGTTGCTAACCTAACCAGATTTGCGAATATATCCAAGGAGCTCAGTGCTCCATACATTTTACTCCTTATCATATCATACGCTTGTTTAAAATCTATAAACAACGCATGTAGGGTTACCTTATATTCATAGCAGGTAACCTGATTTCTTTTAGTGGAAAAATATGATCTGTCACTGATCTATTGAACTCTAAAACCGGCTTGCCACTTACCTAGTTTATCTTCAGCAAATCTGTCTTTTCCTTAGCATCCTGGCTAATACCTTGTAACAAGTATACAACGGAGCAACACCTCTGAAGCTTTCACATGCCAATATATCCCTATTTTTGCATATGGGGCATAATAAAGCTTTGTACCAATCTTTGGGCATATTTTTCTCTTCCATATTCTCTTGATAAGGCTTTAATCCTTTTTTGTAGTCCTACCCCTTCATTCTTTAGCATTTCCGCAGCTATTTCGTTTTTTTTCCCGTCTTTTGTTATTTTTGAGCCCATTTATGATACTTCTATATTATTTTAATCTATCTTCTATATCGTTTTTCATTTTAATTAACACAGTACGGACCTCGTTGTTCGTAGTATTAATGTATTTGTTTGTCTCTCCATACTGTATTCCTTATTCTTAGACTAACTATGTAAAAATTAGATTTCTTTTAATAAAAGAGTATATTCTACGATTTGTCACGACTATGTGTAAGAGTCGCAGAATAATGCATGAATGTGCAGATACTCTTTCGAAAGAGTATGAGCAGAGAAGATTCAATAAAGAGGATTGCAAATATAATTTACAAATGGTTTCTATTCGTCTTGAGTAAATTTCCTGGTTCGAAATACAAAGGATTTTTTAGAGATGGTTACAGTGTGTGACAAAGATAATTGCATTTATATTTAATAGATTAATGGGACCACTAGTACCATTAGATTATAGAAAGAAATAAACGCTGCAATATATTGCTGATATTTGTATAAAGCAAATCAACTTCTTTTGCCTCTTTAATTCTTTAACTGGTATTCACTTATTTATTTTAATACGTATTTTTTATGAATAGATTATAATTTTTTCTTGATTACTTTTAGTTTGTTCTCACTTTTCTAATAATTTCATAGTAATTCCTTATTCTTTGTATACTTATATATTTGTATGTTTATATTTTTCAAGTTACGCAACCTTAGACAATCAATGTAACCAGAAAAGCCGTCTAACAGTATCTGTACAAAAGCAAAACATATATTACAATTATACAATAATGTAAATGTATAAAATAAAGTAGATAATCCGCTTTGACTGGAGAGAAGATTGTGGAAATTTAATCATGAAGAAGATCCTTCACTAGGCAGTTCTATTATTATGCCTTAATCCTCTATAAGGAAATTTTTCTCATCTATATATCTTGGGTGATACCAATATTTATCCCTTTTACAAACGTGTCGTATCTAAACGTCCCCCACAAGGCATTATTAATTTGGTCTTTATCTTGTACTCCTTCCAGGAATTTGCAAATCAGCAATTCTTTGTATTGTTTGATTATTATTTCAATGTTGAACATTAATCTAACTATCTCAACTTATCCAAACCTAGACATGCCTTTTTCTTGGTCTTTTTCTTGGTTGCCAATACTTCTTCGACAACTTGGTGACTTATCTCGTGCTATTCTATTCGTACTATCCTATCCTCTGTCATTCTACTAATGTGTTCGTTTCACTCCTGTTTCTGTTTTGTCACCCATCCATTTATGTCTTCTATATTGCATGCTCTTTTTATGTTTTTGCTTCTCTCCCTATTCAACACACTTTTCCCTGAGATTAGTCGGAGTATTTTCATCTCTGTTGTTCTAGTAATCGTCTCGTTTTAGATGTGTCAAGTCTTGTCTCCGCCGTGTATGTTAATATAGGTCTTATTTGCTGCTTTATAGATTCTTGTATGTGTGTATTTTCTTAGTGTTTGTTGTTCCAGATTTTGTCATTAAGAGATCCCGCCGCTTTACTTGCTTTTAAGCTTTGTTGTTGTACTTCTTCAAGATCTCCGTAACTAGTTATGTCTATTCCCAGATAAATAAACATTGCTTACATCGTAGTCTATCGTAGTGTTTTTTGGCTGATATTATCATATTGTATTTCTTGGTCAGAAGATGGTCACCGCACTACAAAGAGTAGGATGGGATGAGAAGGACATTCGGATCGTCATGAATTTATACTGGAACCAGCGTGCTCAAGTCAAGGTCGAAGACCAGCTGACCGACTAAGTGAAGATCATGCGAGGAGTAAGGCAAGGATGTGTGCTATCGCCGACTCTTTTTAATATATACTCTGAGGAGATTTTTAATGAAGCCCTCACAAACCTAGACATGGGAATCCGAGTGAACGGTGAATACATCAATAATATCCGCTACGCCGATGACACTGTGTTACTAACAACCAGCCTAAACGATCTGCAGGCCTTACTAGACCGAGTGCGAACTGTGAGCGTAACATACGGACTGAACCTCAATATTAAGAAAACTAAATTCATGGTTGTCAGCCGTACAAATTTAGATCCCGGGGCACTAATGGCAGATAGCGAAGAGATCCAGATAGTCAACAGATTCACTTACCTCGGAACTACCCTCAACGTACAATGGGACTACGCTCAAGAGATTAGATCCAGAATTGAAATGGCACGGTCTACATTTATTAAGTTGAGATCCTTGCTGTGCTGCAGTGATCTCAGTTTGGGAACCAAGATGCGGATAGTGAGGTGCTACGTTCTTCCAGTGTTACTATATGGAGTTGAAGCCAGGACACTGACGCAAGCCACTAATAAAAGAATCGAAGCCTTCGAGATGTGGATATACAGAAGGATACTAAAAATATCTTATGTGAACCATGTCACCAACGTTGAGGTCCTACAGCGCATGACAAAAGAAAAAGAAGTGCTTAATTTAATTAAACAACGTAAGCTTGAGTATCTCGGCCACGTGATGCGGAACGAAGAAAAATATCGAATTCTTCAACTCGTTATGCAGGGTAAAGTATTTGGCAGAAGGGGACCTGGACGCCGTCGTATCTCGTGGTTGAAAAATCTCCGACAATGGTTTGGGATGACCTTAGCGGAGCTGTTTCGCAGAGCAGTCAACAAAACCATGATAGCCTTGATGATCGCCAACATCAGGACCGGATAAGGCACTGAAGAAGAAGAAGAAGTATTTCTTGGCTATTGTATTGAAGATGTGTGTTAATCTTTGGGAGCTCGTCTTCTGTCTCGGCGATTAATGCGACGTCGTCTGCATAACATAATATTTGGATTTCTTTGTTTCCCATTCTGTAACCAAGGCCTTTATTAATGCTTGTGTTATTTCGTCCATTATTATATTAAAGAGAAGTGGGCTTAACGAGTCACCCTATCTGACTCCGCTTTGTACTGGTATACACTGTGTTAGTTTTCCATTTATCTTTGCCTTTATTCGATTATGGAAGTAGATGTTTTCGATGGTTTATATAATATTGATTAGTATGTTCTTGTTCTCTCTATAGCATCTTGCGGATCTGAATCCTTGTTGTTCATCTGATAAAGTTGTTAGTTTATTGATTTTGTTGTTTGGGACTTGTGCGGGTTTTTAATTTAATCCACTGCTTTAGCACAAGTACTGCAAAGTTCACCG